CCCGCGGCTCCTCCCCCGAGCAGAGCTTCGCGCCTCCCGGCACAAGTGGCCCGGGGCTCCCCTCTCTGCCCCCGTGTTCTGGTGGCTGGCACGAACGCGTCGCTCTGAATGCGTGTGTTTTAATGCCTGCAGGGCGTATCCTGCTCTGAAGGTTGCAGTTTTAGCTGTTAGCCCCCGGTTTTGAAAGACAACATGTGGCTAGATCCTGTCTTACACCTCTTCTCCCTTCTGGGGTTCAACAGGGCCAGCTCGTTGTCTGGGATACCTCTGTTACGCGTGCAGAAGGCTGAAGTTCTGGGTATTCTGTTGCCGAGTAAAACAGAAGTGTAGCAAGCCTTGGCTCGCAACCAGAAACGGCACAAAGCCACAGCCACACAGACGCCCTCAAAAGGCAGCTTGTAATGATGCCGCTGTGGTGTGCGGCCTAAAGGCAAGGGACAGAATCATGGCCGTCTGTCACATGCTGCTAGAGGGTGTGGCAGAAGATCCAGCACTAAGGCACGCTTTGTGGCACGCGAAGGAAATGGTCAGAATGGTCCAGGGCAGAAGAGTCTTCGAAGAAGCTGACAAGCTTTCCCTTTCTGGGGAACACATCAGACACTGTATAACAAATTTAAGAGTGCAGACCTCTTGCTTGTTTATAATGCCTTATCTTTAAAGACAAGCTGCTTTTTATTGTTTTCTTAACTGTGCAGCTTACTTGCTTTAAGGTTCTTTAGTATGTGCATGTCACAATTGTGGAAATCTCTTGGAGTATTGCATTTTTAAACACAGTTTTATTTTGCTTTTAGCAGAAGCTCTTTAAAAACTCCTCTTGCTTCTTTTAGGCTAGAGAAGAAGACAAAAATCAAGATGGCAAAATGGATCAGTTGTATTTTAAATTGGAGCTTCCATTGCAATCTACAGAACACGTAGTTGGTGTTCAGCTGATTCTGGTCTTTTCCTACCAGCTTCATGTGAGCATTTCTTATTTTATTTGTTGTGATACTTGAGCCCAGTGTAATATTCCTGTAGCAGCTGTGCAAAGGATAAAAGAACTCTTACACATTTGAAACTGGTATCCAAAAGATTTAGTTTACTAACAAATACTTAATTTTCTTCTATACTATCCAATGATAAAGCAGTTTAGGTCATTCCTAGTTTAGTTCTGTTTTATGTTTTGATATGCTCCATTAGATTTTTTTTTTGTTTTTTTAAGCTATGCGCTCTCTTGGCCTGTAGTGCGGCACAGAGGACAGAGATATACAACCGTGTGTGGGTGGGATGGCGTCAGAACATATCTAAGACTATAGCAGCAGACAGAAGGCTGCATGTTTTTTGTATACCACTATACATCTGATATCAACAGCCAGTTTTCTGAGGTGGAGGAGCAAGCTGCCACTGCAGTTTAAAAGTCTGTAAGTTTTGTTCATTTAGCAATTCTTGAACTAACGGTACTTATCTGCCCGGATCTTCTGTACCTCATAAATATGAGGGGGAAGCAGGTATTATAGGGAAGCTGGAAGATATAGCTCTTGTCCAGCAGGGAGCTGGAGGATGAAATGGCAGCAGAAGAGTTGTATCTCTCTCGAGTGGCAGTGAGAGTGCTGAAAACTTGATTCCATTAATAGCTAGAGCAGTGGGTGAAACGCTAGTGCACAGAAACCCTATGGATGCATCTGCAAGGAACAACGCAGACAAGGGGAAGTTTTGCTAAAGAGTTTGGGTTTAGTTGGGCCAAGACACTTTGGCTGATTGCAGATGGACGAGCTTAGCAAGCACGTCGGTGTGGTGTAAAAGACATGATTAAATCTCTGGGGCTCAGAGTAAAGGCCTGACAGTCCCAACTTTATGTATGGAAGTTTTTGGTCAATGATTAATATCATATGGAGAGTTCCAGTATTCACAATGCCTTTGTTTTATAGTAACTATTAAAATTTTCCTTCAGATTGAGTGATCAGTGAGGGCTGAGGAACTTCCTTGTTCCTTGTTTGGCCCTTATCACAGGGCAGGAATCCTTAGCTGACTTTGACTGCTGAGAATTTTTTTTAAGCGTGTCTCTCCAGTAAACGTGCTTAATCACCTTATTGCTTTTCACGTGTTATGGCAAGTTCAGTCATCTTGTCATTAGCCACAAATTATTGGTTAACTTCATTCACGGAAGTCCAATGAAGCTGGTTAACTAACAATTAACCTCTCCTGTTTAAAAAAAAAAAAAAATGTTTGGTGCTTCTCCTCTCTAGAATAATGTGGTGATCTGAAACTTGGGAGTCAATAAAATCAAATCCGTGCAGAAAATCTATAGATACAAAGGGATAGAAAGGTTTCAGCCTTCCTAAATTCTCTTCTCTCATTCACTGTTTCAGAGAATGTCAACATTTGTGATGCAGAGCATGGCTTTCCTTCAGTTTTTTTCTCCTCTACCAGGGTCTTACCTCTATGTGAATGGAGACCTGAAACTGAACCAGAGGCAATTACTTAACCATTGTGGACTGGATACCAGATACAATGTGAGGAAACTTTTTTTCTTCCCCGTCTAATTTGCCCTCTCTTATTCTTCTAGCACTATAGATGAAGCCCTAATTACATATACCCAAAGCACAGAGTGGACCCTAGAACTTCTGAATGGTGCTTCTTTAGTAGGCTGAAGGGTGGAAGAAATTTTTCTGCTGAGATGTTCAGTCTGGTGTTTACATGTATGTCTTTAAAGGCATGATTACTTTTTGTAACAAGATGGGCACAACTACTTTCTTGACAAGCAGACAAATAATTCGGGTATCTCCCTGTGGTGACAGGTGTCTGTGATCAATGGCACAAGTCCTTTTGCGAGTGACTATGATCTAACAAACATCATTGCAGCATATCAAGATAGAAATGGTAAGCCTGAATGTAGAGCTACTAATTGCAGGACAGCAGTAGTCAGCATGTTACCAGCTGTTCTGTGAAGATTTGAGTTCTGTGTTGAGACTGAAAATCTCCTTAACCTGGCTATTGTCTTTATCCATTTTAGTAACAACAGTCTTCTCAGATCCCAACCCTGTTTGGATGATTGGGAGAGCGGCAGTTTATCATTAATGCCACTATTCATTACCCAGTGGAAGTTATTTTATATCCTTTCTGAACTGTGACATAAGGACTGCATAATGACATCCAGTTAAAATACAGGCCAAATGAGCAACACTGTCCTTTCTTCTAAACTTATTACTAAACTCTTCCTTTATTAGCTAAGCATACGCTATAGTTTCAGATCAGAGTACCTGTTTGTCCCTTTATATTGCACACAGTTGCATGTCTGTCCCTCTGTGTGCACCCTCCAGATGATTCTGCTTGAACAACCACTTACTGCCTTTCTCTAGCGGAGCATGTGTTGCTTTTCAGCCTTGCTGAACTGGCCTTTAAGTTGGTTTATTAGTAGTTCAGAGTAAATATCCTCAGTAGGTCTTGCTTTGGTTGAGCACCTGCAATCCCAATCTGTTATGGATACCACTGACAAAGCATGATATTATGTTTTCTGAGCTAAAACAAGTCATTCAAAATCTGTAAGCAAGATAAGCTCACCAGACATTACTTCCTGCAGTGGCCCTGACAAATCTGTTACATGCACAGGAAGAGCTGAAATTTTTGACTCCAACATAATTGTTTGTTCATTATATTCGTGTTTGAGAAACTGTGTAAAGAATAAGTCTGTATTTAGAAGAAACTGTATAGAGCAAGTCTCCCATCAGGTTTGCTTACCTGCCTGCTTTCTAGTGAGCCATGGACAAAATGGACACTTTCCACAGAACTGGTTCAGGTGTCTTCTTGGACAGACATTTTGCTGCAGCTTCCATTGCGTATTGCAGTAAAAGGCTTTTTGAGGTTTCCATGCCTCAAAGGCTTGTCAGTTGCCACACAAACTGACATCTAACGCATTTTGTGCTGTTTTGCCTCGGAGTTCTTTTGTTTAGTTACTGTGTGGTAGTATCAGAAGCTTCTCAATTAACGCTCCTTGACTTTCTTTAAATATCAGCCAGGATTTTGGGAAATGATTAAATTTGCATGGATCCAGTATGTCAGCATCCTCCTTATCTTTCTTTGGGTGTTTGATAGGATTAAAATCTTTGTGTTCCAGAATCAGGTGTTGACTACAACTCCGATATCACCACTTCTGCCAATGTCTCCAGTATTGACCTACAAACAGCACCAGTCCTGAGGAAATGCTTGAAAAAACTTTAAAGAAATGCAGTACGAAAATATATATCTGCTTTTATTCTCTATACCCTTCTTACTGCTTAAGATGAGAGCTTTGTAAGTATGTTATGCATATGTTTGGTTCTTGCTTTGACAGTAATTCTCTCTCCTCCTCCCCTCCCCCCCTTTTTTTTTCCTTATATGTATTCATTCATATACTTCTGTGGGAACACTGCTTTGAGACTGACACTTTAAGTTTTGTTGGCAGTTAAAGAACAACTGGTTACTTTTTGTAATAGGATTGTGTTTCAGAAACTTGTAGAAATCAACGAGACCTTGCTTTTGAATTATCTTAGACTAACTAAACCAGGAATACTGAAAATGATACGGTAACAGTAACAATATAAAGCATTTTGCTGTCTTTTAAATAAATTAACTGCTGAGTTTTAAAAGAGTTTTGTCACCTGTTTGTATGTGCATTCATGTGCACTGTGAAAGGAAGGAAGCCAGTGAGAGAAAGTATTTTCAAAATAAAAAAAAGAAAAACTTAAGAGTAAGATGGCATCAGAGCTACACTTCTCTAATTAGTGGCTGTGCGTGCTTACCAGTTTAGCTACTAAATTGGATGATGGATAAAGTCAAGACTGATGTGAGAAATTGGGTTGTGGGTGATAGTATCTGGAAGATTTGTGCAGTCATTTGCTATTGGTTTTGTAGCACTAGACCATTAATTGTGGATCAAGAGTAATAAAACAGAGAAGCTTGGTGTTTGTTTACAGAAAACTAACAAAAAACTACCAGTGAAACTTCAGAATTTCAAACCAAATTAAAAATCACTTTCAGAACTTACATGACAGTTCAGATTGAGCAGATCAAAATTAAATCAATTGTAATCACCTGGTGAGCAATGAAAGACCATGTCCACAAAAGGAAAAGCAACAAAATTTAAGTATGTTTTCAGTTTTGTAATTAAGAGTTAATTCTAGCAAAGAGCGTTAGGGAGAGAAGAAGTCTAAAGCAGTTCTAGATGACAGTTAACAAAAATGTTTAGTGTCTCTGTTTTTCTTGAACTCTTAAGACATGGTTCAGCTATTAAATATGGAAGAACAACTTGAACAGCAGAACTCCATATTCAGGACATGGCCCTGTAGAATTGAACGACCTACCAGTTTGAAGACCTGCCTGCTCCTTTTTCTTTTCTCCTTCTCAAAACAGGCAGCTTAGTTTGAACTTCTGTTTCAGCTCATTTCAAACTTTGCAATTTTGCAGCTTGCATTTCTTCCAGCCACTATGTGCTGGGTGGACTCTAACCTATTTTTGATGTAAATGAAATATTAATGTAGGGAGTGATTGTTGGTTATTCAACACACTTATTGTACTTGTGAAACTTGTATACTTGCATGTGAGTAGTGAATTATTTTTAAGGAGCATTCACTGCATATAATTTCTTGGTGTGAAGCCTCCAGTTTGCTTTTTTTTAAGTCTATCCCTGACAGCTTAGAACTACTGATAATAGACTTTGTATCAGCCTGCACAGTGTCTAAGCAAGTGTCTGCTGCTTTTTAGTGTTTCTAGGCGCTATTTAGGATAAATGGAGGAGCCTGTGAGTTTGGTTCTGCAATAGCTTAAGCTGATGTATGCTAGGTCTGCTGTAGTCCCAGCGCTCTCCTGCCTTGCAACGCTGTTGGTGCTTGTGTGACTGCATGAGTTAGTTCAGGGAGCTCACTCATTATGATGAGGATTAACTCTACCAAATATAGTCACTTTGTTTTCAGAGAGGTCAGTTCTCTGAATTAACTTGGCAGGTGTCTGCACAAGCATTATACTGGGCGTAAGTGAGGGATGGAAATCTCAGGGGTCACGATAGAACCCTATCTTAGGGGTTTGAGCTGTTGTACTGTTACAAAAATGGAGTTTGTAACAGCCCAACAAGTTGAGCAGAAATGTGCTGGAGCTAGCAACTGGAAGGTGAGAGAGGCTAATGCCAGAAAACAACAATAATAATGGGAGGCTTCATTATCCCCCTCTTACTTCCCTCTCCTGTTGTTTCCTTCCATATTCAGTTATGATAAATGAGACTTCTCTGAGCAACAGTTCACCAAATGCACATGAGATAAGAAATGGTGGAATAGTTCTGGTTCAGGAAGTGTAGAGGAAAATACCCTTAAATTATTTTTTTTAAGGAAGAAGAAAGCTGGAAAAGATCCTCTACAGTAATTCAAAAAGAGAACTGTGTAAATTAAAAGGAGCAACCAAAAACAGTTAAATGCTTGCAGGTGACATAGGGCTGTTTAATATGACCTAAAGCAATCTCTCAGTTTCCTTCTTTCGAAAGAAGTGTTTCACAGCTGGGACTAACAAAGGAGCGTGGTGTAAAAGCAGCAGTAGAAGAAGATATGATAATAGGAGAGGAAAAATGGAATAGCTTTGCTGTCATAACTTCCTAGACCACTTTTATACTGAGCATCATTCTTGGCAAGTCTGCCTCAAACTAATGTCAGTTAAGCAGTATTTAAATCGGTGAAATTTATAGGCTGTGAAAATCTTCTCAAGGGTTTATGCATGGGTTAAAGATAATGAAGCAGTAGGAAGGGTCAGTGTTCACAATTAGAGAAGGCAGCTGAGATGTCTGGATGGGATCTGTAGTTGTACTAATCAAAATGATCTGAAAAAGGTGAGGCAAATAATGAGGTGACAGTGTTCAGACAGAAGAATAGTAAAGTGACTGCACATGCTTGGAGAAGCATTCTGCTTCTGAAAGTAGCTAGGTAATAAATTGGTAGATGAAGTTTAATGTCTGTAGCAGGAAGCTGAAGTACAAGAAAGGTATACCTAGCTGTGAACCTATTACAACTAGCATTAAAGTACCTTTCAGAGGCAGGAGTTAGTCTGGGAAGGCTCTTGGCAAGACCCTTAACTTCCGTTGGCTTGCTAAGCAACAGTGAATGAAAGGATCAATACAAATGCAACTGCAATTCGTCACTGTGTTACTAGTAGATCTGCTGTACGCTGGTATGCCAGAGAGGAAACTAACTGCTGTTGACTGAGGAAGGACACGGAGGAATGTCAAGAAAAATCAATTTCTGCAATTGTTTCCATAAGAGGAAAAAGTAAGTAGCGGGTTAAAAGTCAAGAGGTACTGTTCCATCCTCTACATCAGTAAAACGGGGAGCAAAAATGCCTGCAATGCCAAGAGTCTGCCTCAGAAATTGTTCAAGGGCTGGTTGGCAGAGGTTGTGGAGGCTGTCAGCTTAAAAAAGGAAATAGGAAACACTTCATGCTGCACCCATTTCTTAACTAGCCAAGCAAGTTGGTTTTGGTCCTGTGGCCCTTTCGGAGCCCTGGCCGGTTCGTGTTTGGCTTCATGGGCGGCCGGGAAG